CATTGGTTGATTTTTGTATGTGCCCTGACTGGGGATTGAACCCACAACCTTGGCAAATTGCAAACTTGGGGTATGGGAACGATGCTCCAACAAACAGACCTACCCAGGCAGGGCCCAGAGGATTTTTCTAAATTGAATCCAGGGGCATCTACTGGATATCAGTTCCAAATACAGCCTTCTCACTGGAGGAAGCCAGCACAGTCCCGGGCTTCGTATGCAGCTACTGATCTCGGGGGGGAAATGTTTTTCTTTCCTCCATCCGGAGATACAGAATATCTAGCGTCAAAGAGAGGGGGAGTGGGGTTTTATAATAATGAGTAGTGAGGGGCCTTAAAAACAAGGTGAAGGCCCGGTCGGTGTGGCTCAGAGGTTGAGCATCGATTCCCAGTCAGGGCACATGCCCGGGCTGCAGGCTCATTCCCCAGTGCGGGGCGTGCAGGAGGCAGCCGAGTGATGGTTCTCTCTCATCACTGCTGTTTCTCTCTCTCTGAAATCAATAAAAACATAAAAAGGAAAAAATCAACTAAGATTTTTTTTAAAGCAAGAGGCAGGGAGTGCTTCCACATGTCCGTCCCCCTCCGCGCCCCCCCATCCCACCCCGCTGAGGGCCAGTGCTTTCTGGTTTGAGCCGGTAGCATGTGCTTGGGCTGTGCAGCTTCTTCGAACCGCAGGGCTGTGATTCTTACACTTCAGGCCCGGCGGCCCACGCTAACATAGGCAGAGAGCGTTTCCGAGATCTCTTCACACTTAGCTTGTTGATTTCCTAAACAGCCTGAGAGCATTGGTGTTCTTTACAGAATCACACAGTGTTACTATCCTTGGTGCCATCAGACAAACCAGAGGCGGCCTGACCAGCCACAAGTGAGTGCGTGCGCGCTGGATTAAATAAAGGAAAGCATCTGATATACACTAAGAGTAATGAGATATTTTTATTTATTAAAAACAGAAGCATTAGGAAGCAATATGAGAAAAATATAAGGGCATCACAAATTATTTGAAAATTAAATGACACTTCAAAATTACCTAATGGCCCACCAGCAGGCTCCGTGGCTGAGCCTTGATCTATGAAATAAGGGGTCAGAGTTTGATTCCTGGTCAGGGCACATGCCCAGATTGTGGGATTGGTCCCTAGTGGGGGCATGCAAGAGGCAGCCAATCAATGATTCTCTCTCATCATTTCTACCTATCTCTCCCTCTCCCTTCCTCTCTGAAATCAATAAAAAAATAAAAATAAAAGATAACCCAGGGGTAGAAGAAAACAAAACAATTAAATCATTTAAACTGAATAAAAATAAACATTTAAAAAATTATGGGATATAGCTAAAGCAATACATTAGGAATTTTATAGCTCCCAAACCTATATTAGGATGATTTTTAAAAAATATATCTTTTTGTTGATTTTAAAGAGAGAGGAAGGGAGAGGGAGATAGAAACATCGACGCATTAATCCATTTCCTCCTGCATGTGCCTGCAGAGCCCTGGCATGTGCCCTGACCGGGAACCAAGCCTGCGCCCTCTTGGTGCATGGGTTGTCGATCAGTCACTAAGCCACAACAGCTGGGCTATAATCGGATTATTTTAAATCAATAGTTCAACCATCAGCTTAAATTAGAAAAAAAATAGCAAATTAAACTCAAAGTGAACTATGGTATGAAAAAGGTGTGAACAAGAGTGGAAATTAATGAAATAGTAAACTGAAAAATATTAAAGAAAGTTTACAAAACTAAAGATGATACTTTGGAAATAATAAAGATTATTTTATTTTAATATATTTTTATTGATTTCAGAGAGGAAGGGAGAGGGAGAGAGAGAGAGAGATAGAAACATCAATGATGAGAATCATTGATCGGCTGCCTCTTGCACGCCCCCTACCGGGGATCGAGCCTGCAACCTGGGCGTGTGCCCCGACGGGAATTGAACCGTGAGCCATGCCGGCTGGGCAATAAAGATAATTTTAAAAAACCACAACACACCAAGTGGCAAGCACTGTCTCAGGGTGGACCTCAAGTGACCGTAGATGCTATTAAACCCATCAGCATAGACCCAAGTTTGAAAATAGTTGAGGTGGAGGTAAGGAATGCGTACTCCTGATGGGTGGTTAGGGAAGGCTCCTTTTGGAGAAGACATTTAAGCAGCCAGGTGGCTCTCAGGGAGGGGGGAGGGCAGGTCCGTCTTCTAGGACAGGAAACAGCAGGTTCTGAGCTTTGAAAGCAGGGGCAGTAAGAAGCAGCTCGATCTGGAATATATTTTAGAGGAAGGACTTTGTTAAGAGTGAGGGAAAGAGAAGGGCCAAGGGGAGTCTCAGTTCTGGGAGGAGCTGCTGGCCGGGTGGTGGCATGATTACAGAGCTGGGGACCCTGGGCGTGAGCAGGGGAGCAGCTAAGAACCCGGAGTTGAGTTTGACCATGGTAAGTTGGAGAGGCCTATAATTACCTGAATACCCAGGGGGCGGTGTCGTTGGGCAGGTGTCACTATAAGTTTGGCACTTGGGGGAGAGGCCTGGAATGGAGATACAAACTTGGAAACGATTCGTTTGTAGAAAATATATAAAATCATGGGGTTAGAAGCAATCACCCAGGGGGAGGAGAAACAAAGGGATGCAGGCCTGAGTCCTGGGGTGTCCGACATTAGAAGCCAAGGTCAAACAGGGCGAGCCAGAAAAGGAGACGGACAATGAACACCCAGTGTGGCGGAAGGAAAACCAAGACAGTGTGGTGTCCCGGGCACCAGACGAAGCATATTTTTGAAAAGGACAAGTGCTCACCCACATGGAATGCCACTAGGGGATTATGGAAATGAGAACAGAGACATGGCCACTGCATTTGGCAATATGGAGGTAATTTATGATCTTGATCACAGGCGTCTCAGTGGGTTGGTTTGGGCAGAAGCCTGAGCGGAGGGAGTTGAAAAGTAAATGTTGACGTCTAAAAATGGCAGATGGACCACAATGGGAAACCAGGGCAATCCTTAACTCCAGGAAATGCAATCAGGTGCTCAGCGATGGGAAGGTCATGGAGGGCGCATTTGCAGTCTAACTCACAGATGAAGGTGTGGAGGAGGAGTCTTGAGGAAGGGAACTACAGAGGGGGTGGGCTCTCCAAGGGTCGTGGTGACAGGTGAGGTGACGTATTTACAGTGAGCCAGTCAGCACAGTAGTGAGACCTTTCCCAGCCCATGCCGGCCCCAAGGAGGTGGCATTGGGAGGAGCAGGTCCTCTGGCGTCCGTGTGGAGGTGGTGTTTGGGCTTTTCAAGGGGCTCTGGTGTGGGGGCAAGTCTTAGAATGATGATGCTGGTAGACAGGGCTGGTCTGCCCCTGGGCCTGAGCCCTGGAGTTAGTGGAGCCCCATCCATTTTTAGAAGGCGACTCAGACCTGCAGGGCAGAGATGGAAGGAAGCTGGGCGTAGCCACACAGCTGGCCCAACTGGACCTCTGGCCTCCTCCCTGGCCCGGCCCCCATTCCACAGAGTGTCAGGGAGGCAACAGTTCACACCAAGCTTCTTTCTGGTGATGATGGAATGAGAATGTTCCTCCTGGGTTAATCCAGAAAGATACTCTCTCCGAAGAAAGCTTGTCAGCTGTTAACAAGAATGATGGCATTGATGATACAGTGCTCCTCCTCGCTGACTTCGCACGGGCGCGAGCACGTTCCTAAAGCTCCTACAACTGCCCTCGGAGCGGGTGTTAGCATCCACCCTGCTTCACACTGGACGGAAGTGAGGCACAGAGAGGACAAGTGACCTGCCCAAGTCATGTTCCCGCTACAGCGGCCAGATTGCAACAGGCCACTGGGCTCCAGTGTCCTCACGGCCCCTGAGGGGACGTTCCTGAAAAGATGGACACCAGGTTCTGAGTGTAGGAGGCCCCTCCCTGTGACACTAGACCCTTCAAAGCACTTTGTGGGGAGGAAGCTGCCCTGTCAACCCCCCCCCACACACACTTCTAGGAGCTTCCTTGCAGGACCCTGGAGAGGAGGCCAAGAGCCTGGGGGCTGGAAGAGCTGGGGCTACAGGGGTGCTCTGTGCCCTGGGGGAGGGAGGCTGAGTCTCTTCACCCCATCAGCCCGGGGTCATGAACCAAGTGCTCCTTCCTCAGGCTGGGCCTCTTTGGCTATGACTACTCCCTTCCTTCACCCCACAGCCCCGATGCCCTCACCCTCAACCCAGTCTTGAGATGGTACCTGCCCTGGTCCCCATGAACTAGCGTCCTGGTGGGGTAGGAACTGGGGCAGGCTGGCTGCCAGGTTCCCTGGGACTCTCCCCATCCCTCTGAACCTCACCGGGTTCCCAACCCCCACGTTCCTGCTGGGAGAGAGAGAGGGGGACACACCAAGAAGCTGCCTCTGAGACCCCTCTGTCTCTGAGACCCTGGACCCTGCTCTGGGTATGTGCATGGGACGGGAGCACCCCCAAACTCCCCAGGAGCTGCCCACCCACCTGTGGGAACGGCCCCCTGATTGCTGGGCCCTTAAGGCAGCGATTTCCTTTCTTGGTGCAGCCGGCACCACCTCCCTTCACACCACCTGGAGTGCGAGCTGGTCTTGTCACTTGTCCTCTCACAGGGTCAGCCTCTGAAGGGGTCCGCAGGCCTGCAGCCCTCTCCCCGCCACTCCGGGGCCCGCCAGAGCCGATTTCTTACACGCCAGCCCCGTGAGTCCCCCTCACCCCCTCCTCAGGAGACCGAGGGGGGACAGGCCCATGTACCCCTAGGAAGCTTAGAGACAGCCCCCAAGTGACCCCCATTTGTCCCTCTTTCGAGCCCTGAGAGCTGCAATCACAGTCGCAGCAGCTCCTGCCACACCGCGGCCACACCGCTCCAGCGACAGTCATGAGGCCGCACTCCTCCCCCGTCAGCCCTCCCAGAGCGGCCCACGTGCGTCCCCAGGCGCCTGAATCACTGCTGACGGCTTGGGGCCTGGTGGCCGTGGGCTCCTGGGGAGCCACTGGGGAGGGGGTGGTGGCCACGTCACCTCGGAGGAAACACCTGCGGCCATAAATAGGCAGCAGCGAAGGCAGCACAGCACAGCCTGCCGAGCAGCACCACACGCTGTGCCCACCTGCGCCAGGATGCCCGAGGCCATGCTGCCCGCCTGCTTCCTCGGCCTGCTGGCCGTCACCTCTGCCTGCTACTTCCAGAACTGCCCGAGGGGCGGCAAGAGGGCCATGTCCGACCTGGAGCTGAGACAGGTATGACCAAGGTCCGCCTCAGGGCTGAGGGAAGGGGCAGAGCCCTGGGGCTGGCACCAGGGTGCAGGGCTGTGGGAGAGTGGGGTTCGGAGGAGTGCCCAGCAGAAGCAGCGAGGCTGGCAGGGATGGGCACAGGGGACCGGACCGCGGGCAGGCGAGGACGGGCCGCGAGGCTTCCTGGACACTGTCCCCATCCAGACACGATGGAGGAGAGAGAGGGTTCCGCAGTAACTGGGCTGGGGCTGGGGCTGGGGCTGGGGCAGGGAGAACTGGGCAGGAAGGCCTCCTGTGTGCCCCTACTCAGCATTTGAGGCCTCCCCTTCCAGCCCCAGCCTCTCCCGGCCACGGGCCTGGCCTCCACACGGTCGGTCACTGGCCGTGGTGGGAGCTGGCGGGAGGGTAGGTGCCAGCCAAGCCCCCGTCAGGCCGTTCTGCTAGGGGCCTCGCCCCCTTCTCTCCTGCTGTATGTCCAGTCGGTTCCTTGTGTCCATTTGCATTAGAGCTGGACGGAGTCCAGGCACCAGGCTCAGGCTCAGTTCTTCCCAGGCCGCAGGAGGCTCAGTTCTGAGCTGCCGAACAAAGTAGATGGGCAGCTGGGCAGACAGACTTCCCTTCCCTCTGCTCGGCCTTGGGGGGGGGGGGGGCTCCTCTAGGGCTCAGGACTCTGCTGTCCACTGGTTAGCGCACAGGCAGGGGAGCAGAGGCCCCCCAGCTTCGCAGGGAGGGCAGGGGGAGGGGGTGATGGGGGAGGGAGGGGAGGGAGTGAGGGGGCCGGGCATGGCCAGAGGGGGGACAGGAAACGGAAGGAAGGGCCTGGGGGGGGACAGGGATGGTGCTAGACTAGAGTCAAGCGTGAGTAATGGGGAGGGGTCCGTGTTGGGGGTAAAGTGGTGGGCAGCCCGCACGCTGCAGCCCTGGGAGACCCCCTGCGGGTGGGGTGGGGTGGGGAGGATGCCGAGTGATTCACAGAGAGTCCGAGGCACCTGGAAATGGAGGGAGGCTGGTAGATGTGGCTCCCCTGCTGGGACCCTTTTGGGGCCAAAGCAGCGCCAAGGCGACCCCGAACCTCGGTCCCTGAGCTCCCTCCCCACCCAGAGGCCTGACTTTCACCCCCGGTGCAGCGGCCTCGCTCACCCCGCCCCCTCCCTCCTCCCCCCCCCCCGCCCCCCAGTGCCTCCCCTGCGGCCCCGGGGGCAAGGGGCGCTGCTTCGGGCCCAGCATCTGCTGCGGGGAGGAGCTCGGCTGCTTCGTGGGCACCGCCGAGGCGCTGCGCTGCCGGGAGGAGACCTACCTGCCGTCGCCCTGCCAGTCGGGCCACAGGCCCTGCGGGAGCGGGGGCCGCTGCGCCGCCGACGGCATCTGCTGCGACGAAGGTGCGGGCCGGGCGGGAGGTGCGGGGCCGGGGCGGGGGGCCTGGGGGCCGGGCGGGGGGTGCGGGGCCGGGGCGGGGGGCCTGGGGGCCGGGCGGGGGGTGCGGGGCCGGGCGGGGGGTGCGGGGCGGGGGCGGGGGGCCTGGGGGCCGGGCGGGGGGTGCGGGGCCGGGGGGGGGGGCCGGGGGGCCGGGCGGGGGGTGCGGGGCCGGGCGGGGGGTGCGGGGCCGGGCGGGGGGCCTGGGGGCCGGGCGGGGGGCCGCGGGGCCGGGCGGGGGGCCTGGGGGCCGGGCGGGGGGTGCGGGGCCGGGCGGGCGCCGACCTGGGTGGGTCCGGCGCCGCGGGCGCGCTCAGCCCCTGTCCCCCGCAGAGAGCTGCGTGACGGAGCCCGAGTGCCGGGAGGGCGCGGGCCTCCCCCGCCGCGTCCGCGCCAACGAGCGGAGCAACGCGACCCAGCTGGACGGGCCGGCCGGGGCCCTGCTGCTGCGGCTGGTGCAGCTGGCGGGGGCGCCCGAGCCCGCCCCGCCCGGCGTCTACTGAGCCCCCACGCCCTCCCGCCCGCCCTCGGAGCACGGAAAATAAACCTTTTAAATGCACTGGCCGGTGTCCGTCTGTCTGGGGGCGGGGGGGGCGGGGGGGCGCGGACGCTTCCCGGACCCCAGGACACAGGCAGATGCCCCGGGAGGAGGGCCGGGCCCTGAGGGAAGCGATCCTGCCCCAGCGAAGGTGTGGGTGGGACGATGGACAGGCGCCCGGGGCGGAGGGGAGGGCCAGGCCGGTGGGGTCCTGCAGGGCTGGGTGGGGGGGTCTCAGGGCGGAGGGATGGGAATAAAGGGGAAAGCGTGGGGGGAAGATGTCGTGGACAACACAGTGAGAGACAGACCTCGAGAATGACAGGAGGCGAGGAGAGAGGCGGAGGGACCAGCCAAGACGGGAGCAGGGGTTCCGGTCCCCATTCACTCCCCGGAGGCGGAGGGACAGCAGCTCCAGGGACCCATCCTGGCCCGCAGGGTCCGTCCAATGTCTGTCATCCAAGGCTGGGGGGGGGGGGGGCGTGCAGGTGGGCGAGGGGCGGGGTTGTGGGACCAGCTGCCCAGACCCAGCAGAGAAGCCAGAGGAAAGGGCACCCCATCTGACTCTCAACCAGCCTGAGAGACAGCGTCACTGAGACCCTGGCCGCGGGCTCCCCCAGGCACAGCCGTGCAAACCACACTCCCTCAGACACAGACAGGGAAGAACTGTGAGGGGCAGCCCCGCCCCGTGGTGCCTGACCACAGTCACAGACATAGTCCGAGGAACACATTCAGAGGCACACTCACACTCAGAGAAACAGACACAACAGGCTTGAGGACAGGCGGGCCCATGTACACACACACACACACACACACACACACACTCCCACATGAGCTCCCGGGCAAACGGACTTGCCACCCTTTGACACAGGCAGCTTCAGGGCAAAGATGTCCACTAACAGGCCAACGCTGTTCTCCGTCCCGTGTCCCTCTTTGTCCCCTTTGCCCATGTAACCCCTTTCCCCTCACTCCCCTGCCTTCCCTCCCCCCTCAACTCTTCTCTTGCTGCCCTCCCTGTCCCCCTACACCCCTCCCTTTCTCTTCTGCCCTCTACCTTTCAGTTATTGCGGATCCTCCTTTCTCTACCAGCTTGTCGCGGCAGCCTCTCCCTGGGATGTCTTGCTCCAGGTCTTGGAGGCCAGCGTGGAGCGCAGGCTGAGAAAAGTCCCTCTGAGCCCCGACCCCAACAAGCAGCCTGGGGCACAGCCTCAGCCAGCCCTGGGGCGGGGGGGCGGGTGCGGGGAGGGGGGGCAGGTCCAGGAGCCAAGCCAAGGTCAAGCTCTCTTCTGGCCTCAGAGCTCTGCTCCGCTGTCACCCCTGACCAGGCTCAGGAGGTGGGGCTTCTGTCGCTAATCAGCCGAGGCTGAGGGAGTCTCTCTCCTTGTCTGTGTCCCTTGTCTTTTGTGATCATGTCTGTGGTCTTGATCGCCAAGAACCCTATGCTGCAGGGTCCCGGCATTGATAGTGCGACATAAAAGTAAACCACAGCCGTGGATGCTCACGGATGTGGCCGATGCTTCCAGTTCTCAGACTGGAATGCTCTGTCCTGAGGCTTCACGCTCCTGCATGGAGCTCACCTCTGTTGCCCACAGTCCTCTGGGTGCACACAGGCATTTTCACTTTACAAGTTCGTGTCGTTTCACAATCCATATGTGCTGATTTGCACCATTTTTAATAAAGTAAATTTGGGGCAGCTTTTCATATCAGAACATTTACCTCTACCACCATCTTTTGGTTTTGCAGGTTTTTATTATGAGAAGTTTCAAATAGACCAAAACTAGAGCTACTAGACCCAAACCCTGCAGGCACCCACCACCCCCAGTTATGACAATTATCATCATGGGGTGGCTTGTTTCATCTCTACCTTGACTCTCCTCCCACTTTCAGATGATCTTGAAGTCAAGGCCAACTGTCGTACCATTTCATCTACAAACCTTCCAGGCGCATCTCAAAAATATATGGACTGTTCTGATAAACATGACCACAGACTGCTCTCACACACATGCAAACCCCAAACCAAACCTCAACTGTGGGGCGCGGCCAGAGTGTTTTGGACAGATTCAAGCCTTGGACTACTGAGAGGGCACAGTCCTCTCATTGCCACGTGCAAGTCCCAGCGTGGAGGGCAGAGCCCTCCCAGCACAATTAGCCAACAGCTATAGCTGTGAGCCTGAACCTGTGATCCGAACACGTGGCCCCACGCGCCTGAGTGATAGAGCTCAGGTGCATGTAGTGGAGTGGGAGTGAGAATGTTGTAAACAACTTGATCACGCCCTTACTCTGCCTCGTGGCATCTGCTATAAAATAAAGACACGGCTTGTGGGCGTGGTCACTGTCTCTCTCCATCAGAGGGGCAGCGTTCCACCGAGACCCAGCTTTCATTCTCATGTCTGTCTTTTCTTTTTTTTAAAATATATTTTTTATTGATTTTTTACAGAGAGTAAGGGAGAGGGATAGAGAGTTAGAAACATCGATGATAGAGAAACATCGATGAGCTGCCTCCTGTACACCCCCCACTGGGGATGTGCCCGCAACCAAGGTACATGCCCTTGACCGGAATCGAACCTGGGACCCTTCAGTCCGGAGGCCGACGTTCTATCCACTGAGCCAAACCGGTTAGGGCATGTCTGTCTTTTCTTAATCCTTTCATCACCCCCCACTTGGGATCACCCTTGGCTGTGCAGGCACGGCACACTCAACCATATATCAATACAGGCATACCTCAGAGACACTGCCACCACAATAAAGTGAATATGGCAATAAAGTGAGTTGTAAGCTCTTTTCTGGTGGAGGGTCTTGCCTTCAATTTGTAAAACATGAAACATCTGTGAAGCATAATAAGGCGAAACAATAAAACGAGATATACCTGTATCGTCCAGTTTCAGGCATTATTCAAATTTCCTCAGGTGTCCAGGAGCGCACTTTTGCAAGTCATTGATATCTGAGTCCCCTTTTCCCTCAGGCACAAAGGAGAATATTATCCTCATGCCCCTTCTGCACTCTTATTTTCCTGAGCCTCCTGTAGAGCATGACTTCCGATCTTTTTACTGTGCTCATTACCAGCAGGTGTCATCAGATGACTTTGCTGTGTGGATGTCACCTAGAGTTATTTTGCCTGTTTAGTTACATGTTAAAATAATCTTATTTTGTAATATGTTACTCTCCTTTCCCCTATATTACTGCCAGGACTATTTATATATTTTTTTGAAATTGAGTGCAGGTAGGCATATTATCTGGGAATTTCGCTGCGAGGTAGCAAAGTGGGTTCACAGAGTACTAGTTAGGCAAAGGGGGAGTTGGAACCACTGTCCTGGACAAGCCCCAAGCACTTTGGTCATTCCAAGGAGGGCCAGAGGCCAGGGACTGAGCCAGGAAGAAGATAGAGAATGACAGCAGCTCGCTCTGCGCCGGTCTGTCTGGCCACTGGACAACCTCACTTGGCCTGGGTTCCCTCAGCACCTCTCCCAGCTCACCCATGGGACCTAGCTTGATGTCCTCAGAAAAAGGTTGTTAATCAGACTCTCTATGTGTTGTTGTTTTTTATTAATTTCAAAGAGGAAGGGAGAGGGAGAGAGAGAGAGAGAGAGAAAAACATTCGTGATAAGAGAGAATCATTGATCAGCTATCTCCTGCAGGGTCCTCGGGAGCGAGCATGCAACTCAGGCTGTGCCCTGACTGGGAATTGAACCATGACCTCCTGGTTCATAGGTCGATGTTCAACCACTGAGCTACGCCGGCTGGGCCAGACTCTATGTTTTATTTATTTTTATTTTTATTGATTTCAGAGAGGAAGGGAGAGGGAGAGAGAAACATCAATGATGAAAGACAATCATTGTTCCGCTGCCTCCTGCACGCCCCCTACTGGACGTGTGCCCTTGACTGGAATCGAACCTGGGACTCTTCAGTCAGCAGGCCAACGTTCTAGCCACTGAGCCAAACCGTCCAGGGCTAGACTCTGTTTTTGATGGCGGAAAAGAAAATACTATTGGCCTTTGGATTTAGGGAAAGAAAGGGACAGTGGGTGGGTGGGGTGTCAGAAGGAGGCGACCCTGAACTCAGTCCCAAGGTGAGAAATGTGGACTGATACCCCTCTTCTGTGTAAGCCACTGGGGTGGGAGGGGATGCAGAGCACTTAGGGCTGAGAAAGGAGACCCAGGGGGGTGATTCTGAATTCCTGCTGAGGTGGTGGGTGGACACCCAAGCTTGCCAAGCACAAACCCGTGACCATCTCTCTCCAGCTGAGGAGTGTGGTTCCCTGTGCGGTGTCTGAGGGACCACAGAATTTGTACGACTTTCCTCAGATACCCATTTACACGTTTCCCCATGGGTGATTTGAACAGGACTCTGATTTGAGTCATCTCCTGATCCTTTCCTAATAACCCCTCACTACTTCCCAGATGCAGGGGTCCCGAGAGAGACCCCCTCTCACAGCCCCAGCAAGAACCCCAGTCTAGATGGCTGTTGGTCACTGGGGCTTCAAAAACCTCATTTCTATTATCTTCATACCCTTAGCAATGATCGTTTTCTCACTTTTGAAAACGTTTATTCCAGTATAGCACACACACAAGTAAACAATTCACACATGTGCAGCTGATGAGTTTTCATAAACGGAGCGCACCCCTTTCACCAGCTCCCCGGCCCAGAAGCAGGATAGGCCGGGCCCAGAGGCGCCCTCACTCTCCCCATCACCGCCCCTCCAAGACCTCTGGCACCATTGCTTAGCGTTGCCTGTTTTTGTGATTTACATGAAGACATTCTTACAGACTTTGGCAGTATTTTTTTCTCTTTCCTCTATGTCTGTGAGCTCCACAAACAGTTAGGTTGGGGCGGGGGGTATGCAGTCCTCCAGTGTGAGAAAGCCACAGAAGTAACTTTAAAAATGTATATATTTTTATTGATTTCAGAGAAGAAGGGAGAGGGAGAGAAAGATAGAAACACTCAATGATGAGAGAGAATCACTATTGGCTGCCTCCCTGTTGTCCCACGCTGGGGATCAAGCCCAACCAGGCATGTGCCCTGACCAGGATCTGATCCGTGACCTCCTGGTTCATAGGTCGATGCTCAGCCACTGAGCCACACCAGTTACCTGAGCCGGGCAGGTAACTTTTTTTTTTTATCACTAACAGAGGCTGCGCTCCTGTTTTGTGTGGACACGGCCTCCCGGAAGGCTGGCCATGCGGAGGTCGGTGGAGGGGTGTGTTCTAGGGGAGAAGGATGAGGCTTTTAGTGATTCCCAGGCATCGATGAGAAGAGTCGTCCTGTTGGTGGCGTTTTTGCCTTTCAGGGTCATGTCTGCGGCCCTGTGCTCTCAGGAACCCTGGTTTGCAGGGTCCCCAGCTTGGCCGCATCTGCTACCAGGGGCCTCCGGTGGCCTGAGCCTTCGTTCAGCTCCTTGGGAACTGACGGCCTGCAGCTGTGGAGGGTGGCGGGCGTCCTGCCCCGGCCCCCGGTGTGGCCCAGCGCCTTCAGACGTCAGGAGCTGCCCCTGAGGCCCTTTCTCTGCGACCACACTCAGAGCACGGCGCCCCCCTCCCCGGGGCAGCCGCCCACTCCGCGCCCCGCGCTGCCCCCCAGCTCCTGCTCTGCGACGCCCGGAGCTGCAGACACAGGCCCGGCCTCGCTCTCCCACCCCGTGCCCCCCACCCCACCCCCCAGTGCTGACAGAGACGCCAGTCGAGGTGGAGGGGAAGGTGCATTCGTTTATTTTCATTCTTTCGGGAGTGGCTGCGGAGGGAGCGAGGGCTGCGCCCGAGGTCCGAGGTCCGGGGCGCGGTCCTCAGCGCTGGAGGCGGCCTAGGGGTCGCAGGCGGGGTCGGTGCGGCAGCCGTCTGCGGGGGGAGACTCGGGTCAGCGCTGTCCAGCGACCCCGTCCCCGTCCCCGGACCCCGCGCCCCGACCCCGCCGGCGCGGCCGCTCACCGGGGCTGCAGCAGATGCCGTCGGCGGCGCAGCGGCCCTCGTCCCCGCAGGGCCTGTGGCCCGACTGGCAGGGCGACGGCAGGTAGGTCTCCTCCTGGCAGCGCAGCGCCTCGGCGGTGCCCACGAAGCAGCCCAGCTCGTCCCCGCAGCAGATGCTGGGCCCGAAGCAGCGCCCCTTGCCCCCGGGGCCGCAGGGGAGGCACTGGGGGGGGGGGGAGCCAGCGGGGCTGAGCGGGGCGGGGGCGGGGGTCCGTGCGGGGCGGGGGCGGGGGTCCGTGCGGGGGCGGGAGGCCGAGGGACGGCAGGGGCGACCCTGTGGCTCGGGCCGTCGGCCCCGGCGGGAGAGGGAGCTGCTCACCTCGCGCACGTCCAGGTCCAGCACGGCCCGCTTGCCGCCCACGGGGCAGTTGGTGATGTAGCAGGCGGAGGTCAGCGCCAGGAGGCCGAGCAGGCAGCAGGCGAGGCTGGGGACCGCCATGGTGCGGGCGCGGGGTCCGGCGTCGACGGCTGTGGCCGGCTGTCCGCTCCCGTCCTTTTATGCCCGGGGCCCGCGCAGCCCCGCGCGGCCTAAGAGGGCCGGCGGGTGTCTGGGCACGGCTGGCCGCCGCGGGTCAGGCCCTGCGCGCCCCCTCATTTGCAGGGGTCAGTCTGGTCGAGGTCACTGCGTTGGCTCCAGCCATGTGCGCGGGGCGGGGGGCGGGGTGCGGGGAGAAGCGGGGCGGGCAAGGAAGCCTGTGGGGGTCGCCTGGGCCCCGGGGTGAGAGAGGAGTGTGGGGGTGGGGTGTGTGGCCCACCCAGGGGTTACGTAGCCGGACTCCCCAGACCCTGGGGGTGGGGAGGGCACCTGGACGCCTCCAGGCCAGAAGCTGTGGCAGGACCGGGCAGGCCTCCCTCACCCCCCTGTACCCCTGCCACAGAGCAGCCTGCCCCTCGGTTGGGGAGGTCTCTTCCTGAACCCACATTTCTTGGAGCTCACTCCCCACGCCCAACCCACCCCACCCCCGACTCGCACACCAATATCCACTTCCCGGCGCTGGAACTTGCATAGGAAACGACCTTTATTTTTCTCTAACCTCTAACTGGAAGTCAACCTTTCCTTCAGCTGTGAGGGAGAACACTCCACCGGGGAATCTGCAATCCCTGGGGCTTTGTCAAAACTGGAATGACAGATGCCCTCCTGTCACCTCCGCCATTGCAACGCTCTCGGCACAGTGCACAGACCACCACCCGTTTGTATCAGGGCAGGTACTGGACCTGCACTAGGTCTTGTTACCTGATGCTTTAAATAAACAATCTGTGACTGTCACACATTCTTTTAACATTTTCATACCTGAATGCAAATATAATCGGTTTCCTTTGTCTTTGTGTTATACATTTAAAAACAGTGCTTTTTTTTTGCATTTTAAACATATCTCAAATGAAAATAATTGCACATAAAAGAAAGACAGACTGCCCAGGGGAGGGGGTGTAGGTCAGTGTCATGAACAGGAAGATGGGCAGCACAGATTCTTTTTCAAGACGGGACTTGTCACCGAGCTGGTGGTAGCGTGGTCAGCAGAATGGCCTTTGGTCCAGGGTGTGCCTCAGCGGCAGAGAACCACCTGGCTCACGGGCACACCTTTCCCAGGTGCCCACAACCAATGACTGGTCCACTCTGACCCAGTGCTGGGCAACTCTGAAGGACCGTTTCAGTTCTGGGCCTCCCTGTGGAGTTAGTACTGAGGCCAGCATAGACGTTCTCCCTCGGCCCAATGCTGTTTCCACCCCCTTCCACAGAGGTGGGCCCCCAGAGCCCTTGTTGGTAAACATCCAGCCCATTCAAGTCCATCTCAGGCTGCTCCCTGGGGAGGCCCCCTGGCAAAGGCATGGATGAAATGAGTCCATGTCAGAAAGTACAAACTCAACAGCACCAATCCCTTGAGGTCGACCCAGCAGCGAGGAGACCGGGAGGGTCCCGGCCAGTCCTGCACTCCTGTTTGCTCTCCCAGAGGAGGGTGAGGGGGGCCACCGGGCACAGAGCCTGCTGACCCCCAGCCACCGTGTGAGCGCTCCAGCTCTGAGCTGGTTAGGCCCCCCGGGGTACCAGGCAGCGGCCGGCCTTGTTTCTCAACCAAATCAGCTCATTGGCATTGCTGGACTGGAAGGCCAAGCATCTGACCCTAGAGGTAGCCCAGAAAGGCCTTCCAACCACTCTGTGAGCACACTGACCTCACCCAGTTAACACATGCACATAAATTACTTTAGCATAATGGCCCCCTCAGGGCCCGCATCTCTTTATCCATTCAACACTGCTCATCTGGAGATGCACTGGGGTCCCAGCCCAGATGCTTGGAAACCCCAGGGAACCAGGGGCTTATGTTCTAGGGGGGTGGTCGGGAGGGGATGGGAGGGTGACATTAGACAATACACCCATTTCAGCAGGTCAGGGGGCAGTGAGTGCTATGGAGAAAAGGGTGGGGCGTGCCTCAGTTTCCCTCAGGGGGCTCAGTGTAGGCCTGTGAAGGTGACACCTGCCCATTGGAGGAGGGAGGGCAGGAGCCACGTGGATATCCGAGAGCAGACTCATTTCCTGTTGCTGTGTAACAACACGCACAGATTGAGCAGATGAACACCCACTTACTCTCGCCAGCTTCTGTGGGTCTGGGCAAGGCCCAGCTGGGTCCTCTGCTCAGGGTCTCAGGGGATGTCGGCCAGGCTGTTCCTTTCTGGAGCCGGGAGATTGTTGCAGGACTCACTTCCTTGTGGCCGTGGAAGGGATGGCGGCTTGCTCCTTCAAGGCCAGCAGCAGGCAGGCCTTGGTGCTTCGAGTTTCTGAGCGCAGGGACTGCCATCTTTTTAACTCAGTCACCCTGACTAATTTGGACAGTTGGGGCCTTAATTACACCTGCAAAATCCCCTCACCGTTATCACGTAATGTAGAATAATCATGGAAGTTATACCCATTGATTTTGCTTGTTAGGAAAGTAACAGGTCCTATCTGCATGCAATAGGAGTTTACACAAAGGATACCAAGGGCAGGAATCACAGGGGCCATTTTAAAGTTCTCCCTACCACGGAGGGGGTATTCTAGGCAGAGGAAGCAGCAAGTGCAGGGGTGGCAGTCTGTCTGGCACGTTCAAGAAACTGCAAGGCCCGTGCGGCTGGCGTAGGGTGACCCGGGGTCAGAACGGTCACGCGAGACTGGGTCACATAGGACCGAGAGAAACGGGGAACCAGAGAGGGTTCTGAGTGGAGGAGCGACATAACTGGATTTGCACGTTATAAGGCAACTTCGGATACTATGCTGTGAAAAGACCTGGGGAAAGGCGGAGGCCGGGCAGCCAGTGAGGAGGCGACTGGAGCAGGCCCTGTGTGATGATGGTGGGCTGGACCAAAGTGATGGGGTGCCCGTGGCGAGAAGTGATCCCATTCTTTGGAAGAAAGTTTGGGGTTTGTTGATAGGTTGGATATGGGTGGGAGAGAAAAGGAGGAGTCAAAGATGACTCTGAGGCTTTTGGCCTGACCAATGGGATCGATGGAGCTGCCATCAGCCGGGATGGGCACCCTTAGGGTGGCCCAGATTTGGGCTGGGAAGGGCAGGAGCTCAGTGAGGACATACAGACATTTGAGATGACATCACACACCCAAAGGAGACTTTGAGTTTGCATTTGGATATAAGCACCCGGAGTTCGGGCAAGAGGTCTAGGCTGAAGATACGTTAATTTGGAAGTCATTTAATGGCACAGACCTGAGTGAGAACATCTAGGAGAGTAGCGATGGGGAAGGGGACCATGGGCTGAACTCTGAGTAAGGTCTGAGGAAAGAAGAGTGGGAAGTGAAGACGGGAGGAGGAAGTGATAGCTGTGCCAAGTGCTGCGGGCATGAAAGTTGAACTTCTTTATTTAAACCATTTCGATGAGGCTTAATTTACATACCATCAAATTTACCCATTGTAAGTGTACATTTTGATGACTTTTAGGAATCAGTTGGGCAGCCATCCTGCAATCCGGGTTGGGAACACTCCCAGCTCCAAAAATGGTCCCTCACGCCTGTGTGCCACGACTCTCTTCCAGCCCCCGGGAAGCCACTGATGTAGACTCACCTTTTCTAGAAATTGCATGTCAGTGGAACTGTACAGTGTGCAATGATTCATGTCCGGCTTCTTCCACTTACCAGAGTGTTTTTGAGGTTCACCCTACTGATGGCGTGTGTCAGTAGTTCATTTCTCTGTATTACTGAGATGTAGTCCAAGCATGGACCACATTTTGTTCACAATTCACCAGCTAATGAATACTTAATTGCTTCCAATTTTGGCTGTGATGACAACCTTGCTATGAATACTTATGCACAAGTCTTTGCATGGCCACATGTTTTCATTTCTCTTGGGTGGTGACCGAGGAGTAGACTTGCTGGGTCAGAGGGTAAGTGTCTGGTTAACTTTTTAAGAGGTGAGCAGTTCTCACCTCCCCTTTGCAGTGGTTCTCAACCTTCCTAATGCCGCGACCCTTTAGTACAGCTCCTCATGTTGAAGCCCGCAGGGACTGGGCCCCCAGCGGTGGCTGGAGGAAGACAGGGGAGATGACTTTGAGATGGTGTAAGAAGCTGTTTGACACAACCTTGGTTTTTGATGCTGAAGCTGCCTTCTCCATCCTTTTGCCAGAGTGGCGAAGCAGTGCGGATGAAATCTCCCAGCTACGAGTGATAGCAGCCCTGGTAGCAGTATCTAATTTCACTGAGGTTTTTGGTGCTGTTCATGAATTCTCCTTCTTTGCTGTGGCTACGCAGTCTCTCCCACGTCACTGGCTATGGGGAGACAGCACCACCATCGGTGCAGAATATAATGCACCCATGTGTTCTCTATGAGCTGGTACCATTGTCAGCCTTCAGTAGGCTGTTCTCTGAGGCCAGCTGCTTCTGCTGCATGATGTATGGTGAGACCAGAGAATCCATTGCCCTCCTTCTTTTCCTATAAAGGGAGTTCCTTGATCAAAAGCCATGTGGTGGGATAGCTGTCATGGCCCCAGTGTGTCTGGCCTGGCCCCAGGGAAGGGCGTCCACCTTGGTCTCTGCTATTGGAGAGGTGGGCTTTCAGCTGTGGTGGTAGCCAGGCCAACCTTGGTGAAGTGAAGTCCCTATGGTTGAGCCCACACACAGCCTCAGTCCCTGCCACCATGACCACTTTGTCCAAGAGTCCAAAGAGCAAGGATTGGGATGGATGGGACTAGAGGATGCCTGATGTGCACAAGTCACCTGTGCAGTGGGTCTTTTGGGGCACAAGTATCTTCCAACTTTAGGTCCATTCTGAGAGGTCCAGCCACATACTCTCCACAAGCCTTCATGTTTCCATCCTTCAAACATAGTCCTGCTAAGTCCCAAGCCTTTATCCTCCCTCCAAATCATTAGCTACTTGTCTCCAGTCTCTAGGATTCTCCCTGGTTCCAGGTAAAGTGGTTGCAGGGTAGTGTTTCAGGTGGAGAAACTCATCTCCTAATGTCCTTCAGGGCTACTCACTGCAGGACAGGAGCACCACAGCC